AAACTGACCACTATCATAATGATCCATTTGTTTTAATTGACCCTGGGGTCATTCTGATTTTTTTTTTTTGGTAGGATGTTATTACATTTTTAGCTCCCCAAATCAATAGACTTCTTATAAAACATCTGTGTATTCTGTATTGCTCTTGGAAGTCACCAGTAAGGCTGAGAGGTTTCATGAAGGACAGAGAACTTACTGAACTGAAGAAATGGACAGCCACATGCCACTGGCAGAAAATTTGCCTTGCGTTGTGCTGACCACAGCATGAAGAGTGGCTGTGCGGCTTGTGGAGGCAAAAATGTTGAACTCTCTGCTGTAGCATTAGACTGCCTTTGGATATGGTGTGAGTGTGTGCCATGTGTGTGTTGCAGGCCTGTGGCACAGGCATTGTCACTGGACTGACCCTATCTCATGGGAGATTATATTTACCCTAATTTTCTCCCAGACTCTACACTAGCCAGGTTCAGTTTTAGAGCAGAAAGGGGTAAATGTGCTGCTCACACTGATGGCTGGCATATGTTAGAAGAGCAGTCTGATTTCCTCTTCATCTTAACACTAAACCATTCCTCAGTCACTGAGAAAGGCCAGTGTGGAGGTTTGATTTACTGAGATGGGCAATTATTGCCTGCTTTTGAGAGAGCAGAGAGGGGCTCTAATAGCTACAGGAAGCCAATAGCTCTTCACAAAATACCCTTGATGCTCTGGACTGAACTGTTGTTGGTAATGGTGCTAATTTCAGCTCTTGGCAGAAGTCTTATTTTTCATATGGGGACAGAATATTTTTAGGAAAAAATGAAGATTTTTTTCAGCTCCTGTCTCACTGCTACAGATACCAATAGAGAAGAGACAACCCCAGTCCTTCAGTGAGTGTTTCCAGGAGCAGAGTAAAAGAAGGTAGATGTGATGATTACATTTAGTCTTTTGGTGGTCTTAGGTCTCCCATATACTGCGATTCTTCCTGTAGTACAGTGTATTTTATTACAGTACCTTCTATAAAGGAGCTTTACTACATGTCAAAACCAACAGGATTTAAGCCTCAGCACTACAGGGAGGCAATGACAGTAAACTTCTTGTCCAAAATTACGTGCTGTAAAGAAAACATTGACCTGTAGAGTCCCTTCAGTTGTCCTGACTCTCAGTACAGAACCAGTCCCAGACTTTGTAGCTTTAAGTGCTTCTCTCTTCGCAGGTTTTGTGAACTTGAAAATGAGTCTCCCGAAAGGACAATACACAACTTTCACCCTCCCCACCACGTGCCACATGTTATTGGCATGTTTTATCTGCTCGAGACACTGTTAAGGAGTGCTAAGGAGTCACTCTTCCCAGAGGCATCCAGTGCTAGTGCCATCTGGTTTCACTGCATCACCTCTTATTTCCTTACTGAAATTATAACAATCCTCAAAACTTCATTTAGGAGTATCCTGGCAGCAGGATTTCTTACACTGAAGAATTCTCTTAAAAAAAAAAAAAAACCCAACACAGCACTCGTGCATCAAGTACTTGAAAAAAACTAATTTCATTTAAACCCCTTAGATTTTATTAACTGGTTTGAGGTGACTTACATTATGTTGATAGGAACATAAGTCAATGTGTAAAAAATATCCCCCAGATGTCAGCATATAGAAATAAACGTTTTGTAGTGGTAAGAATTGGTCCTAGAGACTGAGAAGATCAGAGTTATATTTCTGTCTCCACCAGAATTACCATGAACTTCAGTAGATCAATGAGTTGAATTGATTTGATTAAATAGAACTCGTGTGTCTGAGTTGTGTTTTTCCTAGGCAAGAATTTAGAGCTGTTTTTCTTATATTTTTCTTTACTAGATCTGTATGCATAAAAATTTGGTCATGGATTTATTATGGAATAAATTAATTTGGAGGTACCATCATGGGGCATTTATTTGATGCTCATTAAGAAGATCAAAACACACTTTTGAGCCACAGACTTGGTTTTATAGTATGAAAAAATGTTCCTTCTGGTTACAAAGACATGGTTTTGCAAACTAATGGCACTTGAGATTCTGCTTCTGGTACATATTAACTACATTTTTTGAGAACGAACCAATTTGTCTAATTACTCCAAATTCCTTCCACAGCTAGAACTCTGTACAACTCCCTACTGACAGTCTTTTCAATATCATTCCCATATTCCTGTGCTTACTCCAGTTATATCTTTTACAGGAATACTACTGCAAGAGTTCTGTTTAGAGAGTATTTTATTACTCATAAGGTCTTAGCTCATCCATGCAGTTTGATTGTGTAGTTTTGTTATTAGCTTACTGGAGTCTCTCTTTGTTTACTTTTTATTCATATATTCTGGAAAGACCTAAAAGCCTTAAGCAGTACTGTGATCCTGTAGTGGGGGACATCCTACAGACTGAAAGAAAGAAAATCGCAAATGAAGAGAGCTTAAAGTAACTAAGATATAGGAAGTAAGTAGGTGTAAAAAAGGAGAATAAAATAGAGAAAATGAGCCAAAGTTTCAGGAAAAACAAAGTAAGATGTAATCTGTCTAAAATCCTATGTAACTTGGGATGTTGGTGGCTAAAATGCATGTGAGTGCAAAGCAGAAACTCAAAGCATCTCCTTTTCACTTGTACTCCATCTGAGTCTGAAACGCTTGATGGTCCTGAGAAATGCCGGTCCAAGAGTTGATGGGTCGTACGTCTTCCGCCAGACACCCTGCTGTAGCCTGGTACAGAGGGTCAGCCCCGGAGCTTCTCATGGACATGAGCCACATAAACATCAGCACAGCCTGTTGAACATCACCTGCGTGGCAGTAGTAGCATTTTTCTGCAGACATCTTAGTAGAGAGGTGCCCTGTGAGGAAAGGCTGAAAGGGCTGGGGTTGTTCAGCCTGCAGAAGAGAAGGCTGCGGGGAGACCTTATTGCGGCCTTTCAATACTTAAAGGGGGCCTACAAGAAAGATGGGAATAGTCTTTTTAGCAAGGTCTGCTGCGACAGAGCAAGGGGTAATGGTTTTAAACTAGAAGAGGGTAGATTTAGACTGGATATAAGGAAGAAAATTTTCACGATGAGGGCGGTGAAACACTGGAATGGGTTGCCCAGAGAGGTGGTAGATGCCCCATCCCTGGAAACATTCAAGGCCAGGCTGGATGGGGCTCTGAGAAACCTGATCTAGTTGAAGATGTCCCTGCCCGTTGCAGGGGGGTTGGACTAGATGACCTTTAAAGGTCCCTTCCATCCCAAAGCGTTCTGTGATTCTACGATGGGTAGCACGGTGGTCGCTCTGCAGGTCAGTTTGGTGAAGGTGTTCTGTATCTGCACCAGATACACAGAGAAAAAGATGCTCAGGTGGATAGGCAGCGGAGGTGGCTGCTGTCACTGCAGCAAGTGGAGGGAAGAAGTGATGTGTAGAAGAGAGGAAATAACGAGACTGAAAGAAATTGGAAAAACAAAAAGCGTAACACTTAACGGAAGATATGCCACAGGGATTTTCCTCGCAGAGTGAAGCAACAAGCCTGCCAATAGTGTCAGACTCGTAGTCTGTCAGATCAGGTGTTGCATTTCTCTGTAGCCTGCTCTTGCTGGTCACGGCAGCTGCGAGCTGCCCCCAGGTACACGGCGCTGAGTGCTTTGGGGTCCAACAGCAGCACGGCATGCATGAATACTCCAGAGAAGATTTTGAGGAGGAACTAACAATTTCCAGTGACCAGGTTGAGATCAGGTCTTTCCCTGCGAGCAGCCACGCTCTGTCAAACAGGCTCCTATACTCTCTTAAGGAGTGTACCTCAGAACAGGCACCCATACTTTGTAGTTGCTTTCAAAAGTAGTTTGTACACCTTGTAGAAAAGAGAACAGGATTTCCTGATCAAAGCGCAGAACTATCAACATATTCTATGTGTTTTCTTCCCTTTTGCCTGATCTTGATTATTTTTTTTTTCGTATTTGAAAAATAAAATCCAAGAGCATTTAATGTCAGATATCTAAAATGACTGTGCTGTGCATCATGCAAGTGGCTGCTGGCATCTGAAAAAGCAGTAATTGTAATGCCTTTCCCTCCCTGCAGTAAATGGACATAAATATTCACATGGCTGGGTACATTCGGCTAGGTAGATTATTCATACATTTGCTGGTAGGGAACGGAAATAGTAAAGTGTCGCTATTTAAAAAAAAAAAAAAGCACTGAAAATCTTCTTCATAGTCCTTTAACCAACAGTAGTGCAGTAATAGCTGAATTTGGCAAGGCAGTAATAGGTAGTTTCCTCTGCAGGGTAGAGTGGCAGTGAGCATTTAAGGGATGTTTGAATTGTTTTTCTAATTTTGCATGCAAATATTGACATGGTGCAATACTGAATACATTCAATGCATGTGCAGTAGGGCTTACTTGGCTATCCATGTGTCTTCTGTGAAACTAAGGGGGGATTTTTTGAGTAAGGTCTGCTGGATTTGATTTGAAAGGCATATATTTTATTTGCAGAAGAGAAGAGTCAAATATTAATTTTCATTACATTCCTTTACTGCTTGGTTATACTTAAAGTTTCCATTACTTTTGAAGCACTAGTGAGCACTTCCGATTTGTTCTCTTTTTTAATCAAGTATTATTATTATTTGATAAGCATACCTTTCTTCTCAGGAGCAGGAAATTGCCTTACCCTCAGAGCAGAGTTCATCTTGTCCAATGTAGCCATGTGCAGACCAGGTGTTGAGTCTAAGCACCCTATTTCTAACTCTTTTCCTAGTCAATGAAGAAAGATGATCACTTCTGGAGTCACTTGTCTCAGAAATCTGTCTCAGGATGCCAGGGATTTAACACTGAGACTATCTCCATTCTGTGTAGAGAGTTGAAATGATGATGTTTGTCTAGGTACCAAACCATGGCTAAAAGGAGATGGGATGAACACCCTTGTGAGTGGTAGTCAATTCTTGGTGCCATGTCAGTGGGTTGGCAATGTATTTATGAAAAAGCACTGTTTGACAGCATGGAGTGTGATAGCGTGGGACGTCCTGTGGATTTACAGTCTCAATTTCCAATTTCAGGGAGGAGAACATTGCTATTATCAGGGAGAAATTCGAGGAAATCCTGTATCATTTGTTGCCTTGTCAACATGCCATGGATTACAGTAAGTCTGCTGTTTTGTTTTTACTGGCCTTTGCTTATTAGTCTTTTAAGCAAAATAAAGCTGTTTATAGTAAAATAAGTGCTATTTATTTTCCTACTAGTTTGTCACCAATATTAAGTACTCAACAGTCTTTAGAAAAAATGGGTTCAGCTTGAACCTCGCAAAATCCTTGTTTGTTGGTTTTCAGAATTCACTGACAAAGCACAGAAGTTTCTTTTAATTTTCTTTTAAACTGAGGACATATGACAGTGGCCAGGTATTGTTTTAAGATAATTTATTGTAGAGGTAGAAGAGTAAAAGTAGCTGAAAACATCCTATTCTACAAGACTAAAAACGCTGCCAGTATTGACACGAACCATTTGGAAATTGTGTTCTTTTCTTGTTGCTACAATGATGTATTTTATCTTTCATTTTTACTCTCTTTACAAAGGAAAGTGTCAGTTTAGAGTTTCTCTTGTCCTATCCATTTTCTTCACAGAATTGTGGCCTTAACCTGCGTGCATGGGATAATACCTTTGATACAGTGAAATCTTGGAAAATCTGGAAGAAAGGATATAAGATTGTGCAATAATAATTTTTTTAAAGTACATCATTTAGTGATAATATAATTAAAGTGCCTGTCATCTGAAGGTTGCATGGAGCTGTGTGTTGATTGTACAGCTTTTGGACCTGTCTGCTTTTGGCGCTATTGAAAGATGCTAGCCAGGTTTTCAGAGCAACCAAGTAACTTCAATGTCTGTTGAATCCGGGAATTATGGGATCTCAGCGCTTTTGATACTGAGATCAGCCTGAAAAGTCATGGCAGCAAGTGAGCCTGTGTGGCGATTACCTGAGCGTTGCCTTTTTCTGAGGGAGCAGGGCTTAGCTGATGGAACTCTTCTTCAGCTTATTGTCTGTCTCCAGCTATTCTGTAGTTTTGGTATCAGCCATATAAGTACACACATTTAAGTAGTGTCTTTCTCTTATATTTGTATATTATTTGTTAGGAAGGGGGAGAATGCATGCAGAAGACTTGTCATCCTTGCAGTTGTCTGATTTACAGCTGTGTTTCTCTCTTTTATGATCAAGGTTGAACAGCTCAAGAAACCGGAGCCCAGTTTCAGTATGGACAGCGAGCCTAAAAATAGTAGCATCCTAATGCATCCTGAGCCACTGCATGGCTTCCATTAGCAGTGATCCATTAGGTCTTGGCCCCTGCTAACTCCTAGGAGAAAAAGCAGAAAGGAAGGAGAGCCTGCATATGTCCTTTCCTGCCCTCCTTTTCTGGGTTTGTTCTTAAGACTGACCCTCCTGCTGCTCTGTATTCTTAAATTGCCTGATACTCAAATTGGTCCCTTCTAACACAGTTATGTGATGAAAGATGCATTTTTTCCCTGTATAATTCAGCTCTCCCTTGAGAAGCATCTTTTTTTTTTTTTTTTTTTTTTTTTCCTGATACAATAAAGTTTTAGCAGAGTTACCCTTCACACAGTAATGCAATATGAAGCTTACTGTAGCAGGCTGGTAATTTCAGCATCCAGTATGAGAAAGTAATGTTTTCCTGAGCAGCTGTATTAAACTCACATTCTCTGACACTGCATTTCCTTGTTTTCCCGTTTTAATTTGCTCCCCCCTTGGGAAGCTTCTTTTTTTTTTTTTTTTTTTTTTCCTGATACAATAAAGTTTTAGCAGAGTTACCCTTCACACAGTAATGCAATATGAAGCTTACTGTAGCAGGCTGGTAATTTCAGCATCCAGTATGAGAAAGTAATGTTTTCCTGAGCAGCTGTATTAAACTCACATTCTCTGACACTGCATTTCCATCATTACAACTAGCTCCTCCACAGTCGATTTTAAATGCTAAGTAATTGCTAGAAACTCACACTGGCAATCGGAGCTTCTTAGCTCCAACCACAGTTCGGAGCTTCTCACTGGAATAAGGGAAGCTGGGGAGAGTTACCTTCTAATAAGGTCTGCAGGACAGGAGCTTTGCTTTGTTGAATTTTAGGAAGTGCATAAGACAGAACAGATGCCTTTAACAGAATAACAAGCTTCATATACCCAAAGTTCATGCTAATCTCTTTTACTTATTAGTACCTCTAGATCTTGGCCAGTAACAGCAGAATTTTTCATACACGTGAGAAAATGTTGTGGTTTTTTAATCATAAATTATGAGTTCTTCTGTTGGTAATGTCTATGTTGTGGTCTTCCTTTTATTAGTTAAATTAATCGGATGACTGGCTGATAGAATACTTAAAATTATTAATTTCTTCGCTTCTTAATGACTTTGCTAATGAAAAATGTATCTCTGCAACCTTAACTCTGAGCGAGACATTTTATTTGGAATTTTTTGTTTTCTGTGGGATATGCAGTAACCACAGTTTCCTATGAGTTAAAAAGCTTTGAATGCAAAACACACTGGTTGCTGGGATATAAATAAGCTATAGTCAGGCACGACTTGCAGCCTTGTGTTTCAAGGCGGGTGGCACAGACGGGTTGGTCTATGATTTTGCTGCCCACTGGTGGTGAATATAAAAACTGCTGTTATTACTGCAAATTAGACTTTCACGACTAGAAATTTGTCTGTTTGAAGTATATACATAATCAAAATTCAGGTTTTTGAAATGGCCTGTGTTTTGCTATTGCTTTCTCCCTAACACATCCGTGAGTGTGTGATTTGTTCACAGACCACTGGACTATTGAAGTCGGTTGGAAAAGAGCCATGAATGCTTTGAGTGGGCAAGTCAGATCTGTAGGTCAGCCGTGACTATTATTCTTGTCACTGTTGAGTGACTTGATCAGAGGTCAGTGCTGCTGGGTGCAACAGTTGCACAAGAAGCCGTTTGCTCGTAGCGCTTCGTCTTGCAGACTGTGCTTAAGTAAAATTGCAATTAGAGGGAAGGAAGTTTTGCCTGATGACGAGCTGAAGGATGTTCCCAAATCTCATCTTATTCCCAGGCAAAGAAGCTTCAGCAGGTGCTAGAGTATTTATCTTAAGCTGTGTAGACAGTATTTTATTTCCAAAGAATAGGCACAGGTTATTTGAAAGGTGAAACAGCTTTAAGTTGTAGATAGACTTGTGATCGCATTTGATGTATGTTATACAGTCAATAACCCAAGCTAATTCTATGAATGCTACGTGGTTAACCCCATAAGTGAATGACATTAAGAGAAGTATGCTCATCAATAGCTGTAATGGTTTACAAGCTTAATATATGCTTATATTTCTTAATAGTCAGGAAAAGAATGACAGTATTTTACTGACTGCATCTGGTTCTGTGCAGAACCAAAATCAATTTTGCTGATTAAAAAACCAAAAAGCTGCCTAAGAAAAAAGAAAAGTATCTGGTTTTCTTGTTTATAATTCCGATGGGTTTTTTTTTGATGCCTAGAAGTTTGCTAAAGCGTAATCTAAATAAATAAATAATTTTGCTTTCCTGCTGCTGTTATGTACTGTGTGCCAAGTTTGAACTTACAGCTCATATTTATGGCTAAGCTTAAAGCTCTTAGTAGTGGCACTTCGAAAAGGACATGCTGATACAGCCTAATCCCAACCATGCGTGTATGCCACTGCAATAAAGGCAAAATTATTACAAAAAAAATGCTGATTTGGTTGAAGATGAGAATGGTAGTGATATTAGAAAAGCCCTTTGGTTTTATGCTCTTACAGAGTAATGTCTGTATCAACACTTTCTTTTAAGGTGCAATTCAACCACACTTGTGTATCCTGCATTATGTTAAAGACTAAACCTCAGTACGCTCTTTACCTAAGTAAACTTAAGGTAACTCAATAGAAAACATCCTTGCAGAAATGGACCTCACCTTTGTTGGACATTTGAGTGGTAATGCAAAAGCATCTGGTGTTACTGTCACAGACTATCTTCATCTATTTAGAGAACCTTAACAGTTCAGTTTGTTGTTCATTTAGAGTTGAACTGTGTGCTGGAATTTAACATGGAAAATTGGTGATTGTGTGTGGGCAAGCAAAATGACAGATTTTCTGAGATACATAGCAATGTGCTTATCATGAATGACCTTAAAATTTCTGTGGTTGAGAAGATTTTATGCCATTAAGAAAAGAGACCACAAGTACTTTGCCAGAACCATGGGTATGGCAGAAGGCTTGGTCCTCTGTATCTCTTTTCACCACAACCCACTGGAAGCCTGTTTGATGGAGTTTCCTATCTCCTTATCATGAACATCATATAATGTCCATATTGATATGGTAATGCATATAGCCATTAATGTTTCCTACAAATATAAACTTAAACTAACTCAATTTGAAAAGACCGTCTGTCATAATTACTATTGCTGAAATACCCCAAAGAGCCCTCTGTGCCCCAAAGACTGCATTATGCCCTTTGTACTTGGTACTATATGAAATTACTGAGGAAAGAGTTAATCAAAACCATTAAAACCTAAGGATCAATTCAATTCCCTTTTGCCTGATCTTGATTAAAAGCTGTGCGCATATTCCAAATATGCATGTTCTGAAGGACAGGTCCCTTGTTTATCTGTTGCAGGTAGATCTCTCTTGCATGGGAGTGGGGGCTCTGAACTGGATTTTCAGTTGGCTAAATTAGCCAATTTTTGTGGTGTATATATGTATTGTAGAGAAGCTTTGGGGAAGAAAGAAGAGTCTATATCACCACGGCAGGAATATCTTTCTTTCTGAAGCGAAGAAACAGAAGATTGACTCAGAATTATGTTCAGTTCCTGAAACCATTTTTAACTGCTTCCTTTTCTAAACATTTAAATTTTTAAAATATATCAACTTCTTAAACTTACTTCCATGTTGCACCTGTATTTGTTTATTAAATCAGTATTTACATTTCCTGCTCTTGACAGTGGGATGTTCTATGATGGAAATCATACTTACCTTATAGAGCCAGATGAAAACTACACTTCAGATGTAAGTAGAACTTATAGGAGTCCTGCTGTGTTGTTTTTTGAATACAGACATTCATGGGTACAGGGTAGGCGTAAGGCTCTGGGCCCAAAGGGTCGTCCCCTCATTCCCAACTCATTTACCTCATATGCGAGTCCCCATCATCACAGACAAAAGTAGACCTCCAAAAATTAGGCAGGGGTACATGTATATGTGTGTACTCTGTAACACTTGGATGTAGAGCAGTGCAGCACCAGAGGGTGATGAGGGTCCCTTGGAGCCAGCAGGAGAAGCCTGTGAGTGCCCTGTCCCCTTCTCTGGCACTTCCCGCTCTGGATTCATTACATCCCTCTCCTCCTGGTTCGGTCTCAACTCCAGTTCAGCAGCTCCTGTGACTCTCATTGTTGTTCCCTGGGCAGCTCTCTTAAGCCTAGCTCTAAGTATGCTCAGCCACTCTGTTTGATGTACTCAGATATTTCAAATAAAAGATGATTAACTGTGGCGTTAGTAATCACATCACAGCTGGAAAAAGGAGAAGAGTGTAGAGTAATGGTGCCTTGCAACTTGCATGTTCACTAGTGTAGATGTTGGATAACCAGGACCTTTTGAACTGTCTATTTAATGCTCATGAGGTGGATTAGTTTATCCAGGTTTAATACATGCAATTATTTACTATTTCAGGATGACTTCCATTTCCACTCTGTTTACAAATCCAAGTTGTTTGAGTTTCCTTCGGATGACCTGCCATCTGGTATGATTTTTTAATATTCATGACTTACTGACTTGTTTTAGTCTAAGGCCAAATTTGTTAATGGTATTTGATAGATAATCTTCTGCTAGTATATTGTTTGTTTGTGTATCTCCTTCTTCCCTGATTAAATAAAAAAGCACTGAAAAAAAAGAATCTGAAACACTGAAAGCACTGGAAAAGAACCTGAAGCACTGAAAAAACCCTGAATCCAATGAATCAAACCTCTCCTAGACCTCCATGTTGTGATTATGTTTCTCTTAACAAGTCACACGGTCTATGGACTGCATTATATGCTAGTCGTTGTAGAAAAGAGAGGACTAAAGTAGCCTAAAGATGATGAAAATAAACTCCACGTTGCCAGTGGTTGATAACTCTCCATGGATTTTTCCTATTTTGAGATACAGGGTGAGTACCATGGTGTGAGCATAAGCCTGGGAGACAAGAACTTGCCAAATATCGTTGCTGTTTACTGACTCTCGTCTCCAGTCCGTTCCGCATCTTTCACAGTACTGGCTGTAGTGCAGGTACATTTCAGTACAAATGAATTTGGAGGCAGAAGTGGTTTCAAGTGCTTCTAGTGATGAACAAACAGTTTATATTCTGTGTGGTGGGAGAAGAGGTTTTTAAAAAAACGAGTTTTCATCTGAGAAGTTGGCTTGTTAATTGAAGCTAAAATTGCAGTATTTATGGCATATCCCCATTCTGTCAAGGATTTGCCAGTTTTACAGACGTGTTTTCCTACTCTACAAAATATAGCCTAGATAAATAAAACTGTCCTTCATAGATACTGTCACAAAACTACCTCTAGACCAATTTCTTCAGGAGAGTTACAGATGCCCGGTCATCTTGTTACAAACTGTTTGCCCTATGGTAACACTTGGATCTGAGGTCTGTGTACTGTGTACTGCACATAGATGGGTCCTTTCCTGGAGCACAGTGTGTGCAGGTTTGCTAGTTGTTAAGCAAAGTAGAATCATTCAGAGAGATAATGAGAAAAAACAAGGGAAATCGCTACAATTGGGTCAGCTTGATTTCAGTTCTGAAGAAGGAATCTTTCTGAGTCTAAACAAAACAGTATCCCAGCTTGGTGCCTCACATCTTCTGCTGATGGTTGCCCAGGCAAGGTGGAGGAGGCATTGGGATGGAGGGGCAGCACAAAAGGCTCATGCAGGGCAAGATGTCAACATCTGTATCGTGAAGCTTCCTACATACATGCATCTTAGACACATACCATGGTTAAATAGGGCTTCAGGGCTGTCAAAATAGGGCTTCAGGTTTTTTTCACAGAAATCCAGGTATGCTTGTGCAGTTTTGATTTTACCATAGATAACATGTAAATAGTTGCTGGCTTTGCTGTACAAAGCCAGGCATGTGACATAATGGAAGATGTTGCCATTAGATTGAATTAGAATCACAAGATTGTAGAAGAAGTTGAAAAGGAGATTTAATTGTGGAGTGCTAGTGGTCTTAATTATACGAATATTTGTAATGTGGATAAGAGGTAGAAGGTGCTAATCTTGTATCGCTTTATGTTTAGGATCCCATATATGGAGAAATAAACTTTAACTCACAGTCTGCTCTCCTACATGCCCATACTTGTTTTTGTAAAACTGTTTGGAAAGGCGTTTCTGAGGATTGTAGTGAAAGTTTCGGTAGATGTAATAGATTATATCCTCATTATGAATCCCACCGTTTTAATTTGTCTGTGATTATTCAAGTTATCTCTGTCTTTAAGTCATCCTCCATGCATAGCCACAGCTCCAGAGGATGAGAGCAGTCCACACCACCTTCTGCTTCCCCGCCCTTTTCCCTGTGCCCACAGGAGCTCTATCGTTCATCCCCCTGCCTGCTGCACACCCTGCCCCACCTTCTCCTTCGCTCCTTGCACATGCTGCCCCATCAGTGTCTCTGCTGAGCACTGCCCCACTCTGGAGAGTGCTGACTGTTGCCTTGAGTTTTCTTTTTTTGTTTCCTTTAAACAATATTTGCAATTAGTTGCTAATATTATTGTTGTGATTGATTTTTTTAAAGTACTACAGCAGAATCATTATTATTAGTAGCAAGCACTGTGCTGGGTTACGTCATCAGTATTTCTTATGTTCCTTATTACTGTCATAATTTATCAATTTGCCCAGGCTAAGGAGATCTTCCTTGATGTCAAGATTTTCTTCTTATCTTTAAAAGAGTCTGTGTGTAAGCTAAGATTTCCACTCAGAACTGCATTAGGAATGGACTGGTTGTATCATCAGCTTCAATATTGATGTTAGAAAGGCAAAAAAGTCAAGTAATAGGGATTACTTGATATCACTGATAGTAAAAGCACGCACTATTATACCATAGTTCAATAGCAATGTACTTTTTACATTCTTTTGCTCCTTGGGTATTAAAAAAAAAAGCAAGCTATTGCAGAAGAGAATTAATTGTACTGTACTTTGCAACAGCCTGAGGAGGTAATGAGGACTTTAAATAAGGAAAGCTTGGATGGATGACTTGGCATGCTTAGAGCATTTGACTTCATAATTTAGTAGACTGTATTTTTTCTCACAATCTGTATTGAGACATATAGTGCCCTGGCACGGTCTTAGACAACACTGTTATTGAAGGTGTTGTTTTTCAAATAATGCATAACAGATGTTCTTTTCTTTTGAGGTCACTTGAAAGACGTGTAGATGTGGCACTTAGGGACGTGGTTTAGTGGGACTTGTCAGTGTTAGGTTTATGGTTGGACTAGATGATCTTAAAGGTCTTTTCCAACCTAAATGGTTCTACGATTCTATGAATCCTCATTACACTTTTTCAAGGTAATATGTTCCCATCAAAATTTCCGCTAGGCTTTCTCAGCTATCTACATTTCCTGTGATTTCACTGGTCATGTTCTTTTGCCTGAGGGTTCCTGGCTGGAAATGCACCCTGTGTGAATTCATCCAGCTTGTGAATTATAGTGCAGTGTTAATGTGTGTTAATGTGTTAACGTTAATGGCTGCATCATTCCCCTCTAGAGATGACTGACTTCCGATGGTGTGTAAAATGATCGCAGTTGCTGGTAAAGTTATCTGAGACCCGATATACATATTGTACATTATTATTTTACAAGAAATTCTGCACTACGAGGGCGGTGAGGCACTGGAACAGGTTGCCCAGAGGAGTTGTGGATGCCCTCTCCCTGGAAGTGTTCAAGGCCAGGTTAGATGGGGCTTTGAGCAACCTGGTCTAGTGGAAGGTGTCCCTGCCCGTGGCAGGGGGCGCAGAACCACATGATCTTTAAGGTCCCTTCCAACCCAAATCATTCTATGATTCTATGATTTTATTGATTGAAAAGTTGTATTTTTACCAGTTTCATTAACCATGATATGAAACCTAAAATGACAGGTTGAGGGCCAGTTGTGTGGCACGAGAACACAGACTAAATTAAACAACATATGTAAAGCATAATCAAAACAAATTTGTAAAAAAATTTCAAGATTTAGTTCTCATCATTGTGAGCTCTAGAGACTGCAGGTCTTTAAGCAATAAATAGGGACCCTTGGATGTGATTTAATTTATGTTAGGTCCTTTTTGTAAAGGAAATCCTCCAGTGCACTGGTGTAACCATGAAAACATTTTTAAGCAAATGGCCTATGATTGTCCAGGCCCCTCTGTAAAAAGATACTTGCAAACTTCACATACCAAAATGACAGTATAATCCCCAAGATTTACCCAAGACAATACCAGTTAGTTATGCTTTGCTTTCCTGGTTTGACTTATCAGTAACTAGCCACTTCTGGTTAAGATTAGCACTTACACCTGGTAATGATTTGTCAGATGGTCAATTCAGCTTCATGTTTTAAGGTTTTGCTGATATGGCGGCCCTGTCAAATTCCTATCAGCATTGTTTTTAATGCTATTGTTTGAACCTAATGCAGAAATTGCACAGTTAATATACAGCAGGTGGGAGGTGGAGCTGTGAGAAACTTTCCTGTCTCATCAGTGAAACTGAACTGTTTTTAGGATTTTGTAACAACTGGAAGTTGTGTACAAAGGTATGTGAACTGGAAGTCCTTTAATTTACACACCTCCTATAGTACTGTCTACTTCTCTGCAGGATTGATGAAATCATTCTGCAATACTGAAAGCAGTTTTCAATCCCTGGACACTGAAAGGATGTCCAAAGCTGGAGAAAGTACAAAGGAGGGGACAAAGGAAAAAGACATATTACAAAATAAGCAACTGCAAATATTTAATTTACGTGTCTCAAAAAAAGATCTTCTTGGGGTTATGTGAATAGTAATCATGTTTATACAAGATAAGGAAAGAGATTTCTGTTGTATAGAGAAAAGTGAGGCAGGGACTATGAATCTAAAATTAAAGATGGAAAAATACTTCTTGGACATTTAAAAGGGTCTTCTTAATTGTCTTCTGCTTAGTTTATAATGTGTCCCTTTCCGTGAGCGGCTAGTAATAGATTTGGTGAAAGGGATTTGGTAAAAGAATAAACTACTTGGTGCTTATGAGGAGAGGTTTAAGAAATAAAAGACACAGTGGGATTATCAGGGAGGAATATTGTATTGATAGTGAGCATTGCCAAAATCTCATAAGGTTTCTCCCAACTCTAACATATTTTACTTTGTGAATATAATTGTCTTAAAGCATTAATTCTGCCTTCCGTGCTCTTCTTATTAATTTAGGTAGCTATTGCGAGAGCTCTGTGAATGTCTGCTGAATTCCCGAAAATGTGATTCACTCCATGGAAGCACTGTGCTAATAATATTACATGCCCAGTGTTGGTGAAGTTTTGGCGTAGAACATCTGCTCCACTTTCTGAAGCGTGACACCCACAGATCATCTGTTTCAGCAGACCCAGATTATCACTAGTAGAGCTTTTAATAAGAACCCTGTTACTGGGAAGCATCTGTAATGTTGCCTCTTTTCTAGCTGGAAACTTGAAAAAAGGAGTTGTTACTGCATCTGATGTGCGGAAGAATGCCATACTACTGTCATGTGGCATCAGGGTCACTAATTGTTGCGCTATATTCCTGTAAACATTCAATGTATTTGCCTGTGTTTTCTGCTTAGAGTTCTGGCAAATGAATACTACATCACAGAAGTTTGTTGTAAAGCCAAGACACAAAAGAAGTAAAAGGCAGGTATGTGCCAATATGCTTGTTTTTAAGTAAAATGACATCAAGTTTGTTTTGTGTCTGCTGAATTCATTTGTCCAGATGGAGTCCTGCTGCTGGTTTGGCATGAGGTCTCTATATCAATACAGCTATTACAAAAAGAGGTATCTAATGTTGACAAAACATTGTTGGGTTCTCTTGGACATAGCCTACCTGAAGAGTTACAAAATTGTTAAACACTGCTAAACTGCAAAAGTAGCTAAAATATTTTCTCTTGTGTATAGAATTTTACCAGAAACTCCCAATTAATGAAACATTTACAAATATTTTTTATGTTGCAATGGTGACAAGTAGCTACTTTATCTCAACTGACTTTGAATTAATATAAATATTCTAAACTGAGAGTTCATCCCTGTTTATTAAAGTGGGGGAGCCGCTAAGTGCAAATGTTTGTACTCTGGAAAGATAGCAGCAATTCTTTACATTTTAGGACTGGAGCTCAAATAATGGTACAGGTCAAAACAGAGCTGGGTCATGGGGGCTGAACAGTGAAGGCAAAAGTGAAATACTGAGAGCAGTGGGAGGGGAGGATGACTTTAACATCTCTTAACTAATGCAAGCCTCAAGAGAGGTGAGAAAGACATTGGAGAAATTCCAGAAGTCATTCTTGAGGGTCTTACTTTATATCAGGTGGTTTGCTACCTTTCTATAAAATAGCCATTACTCTGCATTTTTAAATCATAACGATGTAATAACTCTCCTGGAAAACCCAGGAAAACAAGGATACCATGAAGAAGCACAGTTGTAAATGTTTTTAAATGTAAAGTAAGCATAACACAGAGGTGAGCACTACGTTCACTGTGTGAATTGAGCAGTGTGCGAATAAATAATAGAATTGTTACAGAGATTTTCCGTAACAAATGCAGGAGGCATCCCTTTCTCTGTGGAAAAAAAAGTTTATAGCTGACACAAGCCATTTTTAGAGATATAGGCCCCATTGAGGATTCTCTTTCTTTTAAAAAAAACCTAAACTTGGGATTAGATGGGTTGAAAGACTTGATTTCATTGTTTAAGGTCATACAAATGTCCTGGTGGAGGTGCAAGAATTTTTTAAAATGATGCAAGTAAGCATCAGAAGTTTCATCAATATCTGAGACCAGAATTAAGACAGTAGGGAAATAATCTATGCATGAGAAGTTTGGTTTCTGAAGCCATTTCTAGTTACCAGTTACACTCTCTCTGTACTCTGTTAGACTCTTACAGTTGTACTTTCTCTATAGGTTCGTCAGATTCCACGTAAAGTTGAAGAGGAAACAAAATACATTGAGTTAATGATTGTAAATGATCATCTAATGGTAAGACTGACACACTTCAACATCTTACAGTTATTAACATCAAGTTGTCTTAATTGGTCCATAAAGGATAACAATAAAGAACAATATATGGCCAGAACAAATTAAGTATGCCCTTAAGAGAAGAGATTATGGTCTCATTAACCATTGATGAAGTTGCTTCTGAATTTTGGCATGGTAATTTTACCAAAAATGCAACGAGGCCTGAGTATCAGAAAGAAGGGTCATAAATAAAGCTTTGTGTCATAAAGTAACTAATGTCAGTGTAACTTAAGATGATGATTTTCTTTCTGGCTTTTTTGAGCACTTATCTTAGTTATAGCCACTTAGCAATCAATAATGCAGTTATTGCAGTTGTGCAGCAGCTGTTGACAATGGGAGGATTAATAGTGACTGGTTTTTTTTTGATACATCAAAATCAATATAGAGAAAATTATTTTGTTAAGATTGTATACTTTCTCTAGGAGAACATAAATAGGCTCTTCAATGTAGTGGGAAGACACACAATAAAGATTTGTGTATTGAAGAGAAAACAGGCTCATTCAAGTGGGAAAAGGCACAGATTTCTGTCAGTGAATATGATTAATAATTAATGAAAGGAATATCAAAGGAAATGGTCAATTCTCCATCACTTGCACTCTTCAAATCCAGACAGTGTATTTCTGGAAGATGTGGTGGTGTCAAACACAAACAGTAGGATTCAATCTTGAAGTAACTGGATAAAGTTCAGAGACTGGTGGTGCCCCTCCAACTGGTGACATTAGTTGTATTTATCATCCTTTATGGCTTTAAAATCAAAACGTATCTATACATTTATCTACCCGTTCTGTAATATGCTGCTCCTCTCAAGCATTACCCAAATTGGCAAAAATAGACATCAGAGTGTAAAAGGAATGCGACACTGTCCTTGGACAGTGTACTCCTCCATCAGCTCGGTTTGGTGAGCATAGCAATAAATTCTTGGATTAAAATGGACAATGCTGGATGCAGAATTCCCTAAATCGGTGTCATTGTGTTTGATCCTGAAGAACTGAAGCCACAACTTCCTCCTTGGACCTTATCTGTCTGGGCTGATTCCCCCCAAGGACAACGTTTCCTAATTTTGGTCGAGAGTCAGTCCCCTTAGGTGTTTGTTCTCTGAAGCAAATACCAGTGAATGTCCGTGGTCAAAGAAGCTGAATAATTTCCTCCCCAGGAGAAGGTACTGTTGTATGCTCTGGGCTCCTCCCTTTCCCCATGGTCTGGGCTAGCACGTGTGTGTATTTGGATTACTCTGTATGCATGCAGTAGATGCGGCACTCCAGATACACTCAGCGTGGAGCTGCCACCCTGCACAGTTGGAGCCATTTTCACCGTTCACCCTCCCCAGGTGCTTCCAGAGGGACCAATGAACCTCGTGCTTCTTCCTCTGGTCCATGGAGCCAGCTGCTTATTTCTGTATTGGCATTTGGAATTAACTTTAAAATTGCCAATAATAAAGATAATGAAGAGAGTAACAGTATGTTCCTCTTCCTATAGCATTTTCCGGTAAAAATCTTAGAGTACTTTCCGAACAGGAATTAATAGATCCCTCACAACAGCTGTTGTAAAGTGTATCAGTGATGTGCATTTCTGAGCAATTTTCTATTGCTTTTTAACATTACATTCAGCACAGGAGACCAAACCTTGCACAGGGGTTTTACTGTTGATGTAGTTGCTTTTTACTTCATACTTTTTTGGAAATGGAGCTTATTTTTCTGAAGTCTGTATATGTAACTTGTCTATGTTTGTTTTGCAGTGTAAAAAGCACCGCTTGTCAGTCGGCCATACAAACAGCTATGCTAAATCGGTTGTGAACATGGCAGATTTAGTAAGTATCACTCAACTAAATGTTCTTTTATGTGTGAGATGAGTCATATGATTCTCCTGCCGATAGATGCAGGAGTTGTCAGTTCATGGTATACCTAATAATAACATATGTGAAGATCACAAATTTTCATCTAGAACCACAGTCAGCCACCTATAAAGCCTTTGTCTAACATAAAGTATTAGAGATTTTTTGTGGCTTCAAACATTTAAGTATCCTGCTGGATCAATCCCTTGAGTCTGAGTTTTAAAGAGCACCGCAGATATGACAATTTTAAACACTGGATCCCTATGTTGACAACCCAAAACCCAAAAGGCAATCTGAAATTAGAATGCACTAAAATTTCTCCAGGAAAAGCGCATTTGAGTGAATGACTTAGAATAGCGACATCATACAGATGGATTATGTGGATTATATTTGTGATGCTGAATTGGATGAGCTGCTGGCTCTTTCATGTCACCACAGAACAGTATGACTAGAAAAAGAAAAATGTGGTTCTCACTCTTGAAAGTATTTGGTGTGGAGTATTAACCCCCAGCATTGAAAGGATGGCCCTTTTTTCCTGATTTAGCCAGCATGAGGTTAAATACTCCTGTAGAAGTGTATAACAGTGAAAACTGTGGTTTTATACATCACTATTTGGTATAAGAGAGCCCTCGTGTGTCCCTGGGATGAGCTGGACATTATAAAAGACCCATTAATTCCAAATCTTTGAACTATGTGGAGTGGTTCTGTAGTAATTTTTCAAAAATCCCATCTCCCTTCTATGCATCTCTGCCTGTGTAGGACCTGCAAGGGATCTTTTGCAGGCTGAGAGAGCCGATTGAAGAATTAGGCCTTAAATTTAGATTTTACTATGTTTTCCTGTTTGTTTGTTGGTTTTAAAGGGGATAAAATCACCTGGGAGAACCTGAAGTGTGCTAGAACAAGCTAAATATTTAGTTATGTAAAAATGCAAGCTATTACAAAAAAGGGGTAAAACTCACCTTTATTCTATTTGACATAATATATTTGTTCATTCTGTTAATGTACTAGATATATAAAGAACAACTTAACACCAGGATAGTATTGGTTGCCATGGAAACCTGGGCTACTGATAACAAGTTCACCATATCTGAAAACCCCTTGGTGACCCTACGTGAGTTTATGAAATATAGGAGGGATTTTATCAGAGAGAAAAGTGACGCAGTTCACCTTTTTTCGTACGTAACTTCGTGTGATGTTTTATTACTGGGTTTTTTTCTTTCCTTGGGGGTTGCTTATCACAAATGACTGATACATCTCCTTTCTATTGTGTATGTAATCCACACTAATTCAGAAAATAATGTTTCTGATGGGGAGGTGGGAAAAAGTTAATGCACAAACTGCCTGCCAGTGCAACTAGAGATTTGACTCTCAGTTTTAATGTACTAAGCCTGAGCTACATGCGCATGCATCCTTGGTTATTCTGTGCAATTACCTACTCTGCAAGCCACAGCTGCCTGAAAGGTGATGCATGATTCCCCCTCAGAGGTTGGTTTCTTTGGCAGTAGAGCATGGACAACCCTGTTATATTATTTAAAAGCAGAACAGTGGTTTCAAAACCAATGAGGTTTCCTGCTCAAAAAGCACTATGGCCTGCTTTGCTTTGTTGAATGACCTGCACGCTGCAGGATTACTGAGGTGTTTCAGATCCTTGCAATGGTTTGTTCTCCAGAGGGACGTGCTATAAGACTAAGCTGGGAGGAATGTTATTTTCTCTAAATCTCTTAATTGTTTTGGAAATAAGATTGATATAACAAAATATATCTACAAATGTAGAGGAGAGGTTCGTGGCTGAGATTTTTGATCCACATGAGACAGGCCAGCTGAATTGCTCTGTTGGAGTCCTTATCCCTCTCTGTTGTAGGACCCTATATGAATAAACTTAACCTAAACACCTCACTTTCATGTGACTCCGGTAGGGTGCCAGGATACCCAGCCACAGTATCCAGCCTCTCAGAATTTTTGCATGTGCTTAATTACTGTCATTGACTTCTGCCATGAAGAGAGCTAGTAAGATCTGCAAGTGGTGCTTGCAGATTTTGGTTTCTCTATGTCTCAGTTCTTAATCTGTAGAATGGGAATTGGGTTTTCTCACATCCTTTGTGTATCTTCTCTGGTGATACTGTAAGGTCTTTGGGCGAAGTCTTGTTCTTATGAATCCTGGTGGATTGGCTAGGACAATTTGCCCTGTGACTGGGACTCTGGATACCACTGTAATGCTAATTCCAGTGCTGTCATAACACCACCACTCATGTTTGAAGTACTGCATTCACAGACTGCTTAGAAATATCAGTTTCTGAAATTGTGTTTGTGACTGAGACACGGCTAAGTTGGGAGGTGGGGTTGCCTGGTGTGATGGTACACTGGTTGCAAATGAACTTCTGCCTTCAGCACAGTTAGCCCATTGTATTGTTTCTTGATGTTTTTCTGTTTTCCTTTGAAACAAACAATTTGCCACAGCTTGGATGGATCAGTACTCTGAAGTGGAGCAGAGTATATTTATTCACGACCAGTATATTTTGTCATGGCAGTCATTCATGCTGATGTGGTCAGCACCAAAGAGATTATTAGATTTAGGCTCAGAGTTCATCTTTCCCTTGGATGAGATCGACTGCAGTTCCAGGGAGTTTTCACCTTCCTCTGCATCAGGGAGCCACTAACACATCTGCCTTTGAGTTTTGCTATATCAGCATTGCCCAGCTAGACACGTGTCTTTTCACTAGTCACCCATGCGTTGGCAGCGTGGTGGCCTCTCCTGCACTCTGTCTGTAACCCGTGCCAGCAGAATTCACTTGCTGCAGTAGTATGCCAACGAACAAAACACTGGTGAGATTCAGGTGGTTTGGCAAAATAGTCCCCTTATGGTTTTATATTAGGTAGCCTGAGAAGGAGGAGGGAAGATGGTATGACTTTTCTGGAGATAATTTGTCATGTGAGGTTTGTGAGTCGTTATCTGTTTTTCCCATTTTGGTTTTGCATAGTTTGTAGTGTAGTGTTGGCAGCCAGCATTTGCAAATGTCAGTTTCTCATTTGAAAATCAGAAGGGTGAATACTGGGATGGATAGGTGCAAAACTCATGGGCTGAGCACGGTAAACTTTCTTTTCTTTTCCTTTTTGTCAAAGGGGGAGTCGATTTCAGAGCAGTCGGAGTGGTGTAGCCCACACTGGTGGAATCTGCTCCTTGCTTAAAGGTGGAGGTGTGAATGAGGTAGGTGGGGATACTGGTATGGGTGGTGGAAATTTATCTGCACAGAATTTATTAGTGCAGACATGTTCCTCGAAATATCTTGCTGCTTCTTTGCTGATGCAGAGTTTTAGTGCAGCTCTATAAAAGGGATGTCTCAATGAAGAGTGATGAGTGAATAAAGTCAGGTATAGATTCAAATATACTTTTCAGCAGATTCTGTAATATCGTGTCATTCATAGTTGCAGCCAGAATGGCAAGAGAGAAACAGACTTTATCTTACTACACTTGTCCATAAGCCAGCCATTTTCCTCACTTGTCCATTATCTAGCTGCTCTGAAGTAAGAACTCTTAACACTGTGCATCTGATTTTGCCTTTTATTGCCTTGAAATGAGAAAAGCTTCACTTGTGTCTGAGATACATGTATGTAACTGATTACTCTTTCCTACCTCTCAGTTTGGAAAGCCAGACTTAATGGCAGTTACTCTGGCACAGACCTTGGCCCAAAACATTGGCATTTTCTCAGATAGAAGAAAGCTTATAAGTGGTAAGTTTTTTTACTTTTTCACTCTGTCTCAAGAGAAAATCTTAAAAGGTGGAGGATCTTATCAGTGTCTCTCTGATATGTATTTTTCTCCATGTTTCTCACAATGTTGGAATATTTTTATTTTTCTTGTAATAACATGAAGAGAGACTGACATATCATTAATTTTCTTCTATTTAAATACTGTGATATCCCCCTGCCCATAACTGCCGGCAGCACTGGTGTCACCATTTCATTAAAAATAAATCATAAAGACGTTTGCTGCTTCCATTCGTTTCAGGGAAATCGATGTCACGCCCACAGACTGAATGGCTGCCATCTTATGGCGCAAAGGTAGAAACATATGTTATTAGACCTTGGGATGATGAGGAGCCACCCCAATCCTGTTACACAGGATAGTTTTGACAACATAGCTTTTTCCCTGTTTGCCTTGTTTGAATTCCTCTTGTAGATTACCCAAATCTCCTGTATTTGCCACACTACTGCTACCATTCCTCTGCTGTAACCTTGGTATTCAGCTTCTTAGTAACCCCTGTTTACCTGCAATGCCTTAATTCAGATCTCCGGCCCCAGCAAGCACCTCACCCTCCCTGTTTCCATGTTGTATGAAGTCACAGCACATAGAGAACAATGGATGATTAAAATAACAATACACTTTTGAAACAATTTAGATGATGGAGTGCTTAGTTATTGGATCATGCATACGTACGTGGCTTACATATGAAAAAAATAAATTACTATATTGAGTAATAGAACTCTGTTTAGGTGAATTTTGTTTTCAGGCGTTGTAAAGACAGTATATGATGCAGAGATACATCTGCATGTGAAGGTTTTTGCAGTTTTCATAATTGTATTCTCAAAAAATATTCAGAAACGTAGGATGGATGCTCTATGCTACTGACATGTTCAGTATTAATTTGCCAGCTGCATATTATTAACCTGATACAGGGGCAGGGTAAAAGTGAAAATGATAATAGTGGTGATTCCCTTTCTTATGCCTGAGCAGAGGGGCAGGACATGGTTTTGGTGGGGAGGGAGGAGAATGCAACTGTTGGGCAGAGCCTCGTTTCCTTTTTAATTGTGGCTTTAAAATGGAAGCAATAAACTGATGTTCGTGTATTTCAGTAAGGCAAATTGCAGAAAGATGAAAGTATACGTGCAAAGCGTATGTACAGAAATAGACACAAGACAGAGTTTTGAAAGCGGAGGGCTGAGACCAGAGCAGTCCCAGGCAGCCTGGCAGGGCAGAAGGGAGGGCTGCCCTCTGCCTGCCAGGGAGTCGCATGGGGAAGGGAGGGAGAGTGGAGGAAGAAGCTGCTAGATCCTGCTGTACTGGCTTGCGTTTACAGACCATTTTATGCATTTTTGTGTGCATTATTGTTTGGGGTTTTTTTTCAAGTGAAGATTTCCCCAGTCACATTAGCATAGCAGTAGAAGAGAACTAAAAAATTAGAAGATGGGTTAAAATTGATTTTTTTTACTCTGAAAATTTGGGAATCAAATATCATGACACGGGAGAAGGCAGGAGAGCTGACTTACAATTTGCAAGTTCTGGAGGCTGACACTGCAGTTTCCCCTAACTTCACTTTAAGAGAAGGAAATTAAAACAGGACCTGTTTTCAAAGCTCAGGATTGCAGAGTCATGTATCGTTTTTGAAAGAAGGTTTGTCAGCGTGCATTGATACACTTAAACTAAGATGTACAATAAACCAGCAAAGAATTCTTTTCAATTTGCATTCAAATATGAAATGGAATTGACTACAGTGTGGTTTTTGTGATAAGAAATGTATTATTTTGGACTCACAAGACTGAAGATGTAAATTTTTTTTGTTGTTGTCGTCAGGTGAGTGTAAGTGTGAGGACACGTGGTCTGGATGCATAATGGGAGACACGGGGTAAGTCATGTCCTTCGTACAATGACATAAAGGAAAGGTGTGAAAACGTTTGCCTTTTGTGGTT